ACTAAAAAGCTGAAGCCTGAAAAGATAAAAAATATGTTAGTTATGACAACCTTACTTCATAACTAAATCCCACAGAGATTTACATGACTTGTAAAGTCTGAGCCAGAAGGTGCTCTCAGAAACCCTCTATCCAATTCAGCAGTTTGTCCTCCAAGACATGGGATACTGAGGTTCTACATGAGGGTGTTTGAAATCCTACCTCCCACTACCTGGAGAATATTCCATATCGTAGATCTTACACTAGTTTGGAATAAGCTATTAAGCCAAGAGAGAGTGTACAGCCATGAACAGAATTCCTGTGTTCCTTTCCCACAAAGTTCTCAAACTCCATTCCAAAGGAACATACCCAGGTGTGTAATTGTTTGTATTACAGTTGTCATGGTAGTGTCCTAGGAGACCAGTGTCAAGGGACCTAGATGCTAGTCCCTGTGTTTATTCTCCAGGATTGAATCTTTCTTTATCCACTCCATGGTCTTAAACGAGGTGAAAGCAGGAAAAAAAAAATCCCCATAGATCCCATATATTATGAGTGTTTATTAAGAAATCCCGACATTGATTTGCATCCTTTTCTGCTTGGTACTTTTTCTAAGGTTAACCATGAAGGGATGTGTGAATGTCAATAATCACTTGGGCTTATAACTTAGAAAAGGAAATTGTTAGAACAGGATGAGGATAAGAGTGAATTAGTTGGAAAAGTGTATTTTCATAAATCATTAAACAAAGTCTGGGGAAAAAATCACATTTTATAAGGATATCCAAGTTTATAACATATAGAAATGATGTCAATGTCCAGGATATAATAGCAATTAACTGATTATCTTAACACATTTCCTCACTAAACCTTTGTTTTGCACTTTCCATCAAGACAGGACCACTGAAGATGTTCCAAACTTTATGAGCTATGGATCCAAAAATTCATCTCTTCCCTTTAAAAAAACAGAAGAAAGGAAAAAAGGGGTATAAACAAACAGGGGTTTATTCTTCATCCTAGTCAGCTTTATGAAGATAAGGGATGGCTTTTCAAGATTTTCTCTTTCGTCTAATCATGGACAGTTTCCCTGGGGAAAAAGAAAACAAAACAGTTCTAGAGAAAGCCACAAGCCAAACATTGTGGCTTACAGGCAATACCTAATTAAAAAGTTAACAGTGGGGCTGAAAGGGAAGATGAACTATAATGTCTTCCACAGCTTGCTGTTATCCTGGGGCCTTGCAATCTGGGTTGCACTGATCTTGACTTGCATTTAGCAGGCCAGGCTATTCCACACTGCCAGGAGATGAGGTAAGTGTAGAGTATCTTTTCATGCAGTGTGGTGCAGTGCAAAGTCTTGTGTGTGTGTGAAGGGGACTGACAGGTTTGACCTTCTGTGTGCCACATGGAACCCCTCACCCGGCACTCTCGGATCCAGCTCTATTGGGCTGAATGCGTTGGGTAGAAGTTGAAGCTCTACACTGCAAACAAAGCTCTCAAGTGAAAAGAAAAAAACAGGAATGGAAAGGTGAGGTTTTACATCAGGATCCAGGTTTTAGCAATTGAGAGAAAAGGTAAGCAGAAATAACAAAATAACGCATTATTGTGGAGATCCAGTAAGTGTCTTGGAAATGTCACCTTGTGCATCCTGCAATTTAATCTGATCCTATTTCTTGCAGGGCACAAAAAAAGGAGTGACAAACTGCACACAAGGTTTTCCTTTAAAAAGTTCAGTTCATTTTCTAACGCTTTTACTTTTTCCCTGAAGACTGGTTGCTCTAGGTAAGAATTCCCATGTGTCTTTAGATGAAGGGCCTTGTGACTGAAAATCAGCCACTTATTATCTATATATAATGCTTCAGCCAGTAAATGAATGCTTGTGGAAACATGCCTTGAAGAAATCCTGTGTCTCTCAGGCAGCTTTTTGTCTCTATGGATTAGAAAGAAAACAGGCATTTTTATAGTACACATTTTTAATTAGCACCATAGTTATGTAAGTAAATAATGAGTAGATTAAAATACTCATTTAAAGAAATTACATTTAATTAAAACCAAAATAATGACTGAGATGAATTCTCCATCAGGAAGACAGTGTACTGTAAGGAGTATTGCTGCTCTTTGCTACACAAACCTCCATCCCTGCTCCGCACCTCTTAGGCTTTGCTGTTTTTCTGTTTGGCCCTAAAGGACAGAGGTGTTTTTCAGCTGCAGCACAAGACCTGGGCTGCCCCAATGTCAGAGCACCAGAGCACACCATCCCCTTTGATATCAGGTGCCTCGTTTGCACTGCAGCAGTAACCTGGGAACCTGGGCTGGGGCTGGTTCACCGAGGGATGTGACAGGTGAAAGGGTTCAGCTACCAAGCACTTCAGAGTTTCTAAGGCAGAAATGCTGGGGGCAGCTCACCCTCTGGCATCAGTGCTGCACTTCCATCTCATCTCATCTTGTACTAAATGTGGTCACACAGCACGACAGCACTTCACCATCTCCTGCTGAAGAATTGTCCCAAAACACCGTTCAAGAATAATGGAAATGTGTGAATGTCTTGCACAGGAACAAGCTCAGGGAGTGACATCAGCACCCCCAACGTCAATTTGACGGTTGCATGTTCAGGCAATGATTCTGTGGTTACCAATGCTTAATTTTATAAACCTAAAAGTAGCACTATTGATTACATAAGAATTACTCATGCACATCTAATTAAAAGCTTGCTGGACCTAACATTTAAGTGTGTGTTTTTATGTTTGTGTACACAGTTTTGTATCAGACAACATTTACATCCTGATCTTGCTAAACAAACATCTGAAATCATTGCTCTCATAGATACTTAACTGGGAAGACTGGAGTCTCATCAAGAGAGCCTTAGTGATGGGTTAAACCTAATCTTCATATCAGAAGGTGACTTTTTCTTCAGCAGTTGCTGTTTTTTTCTGTATAAGCCAGCTGTGTGAATGCAGGTGAGGCTTCAGGGCAGTATTTTAAAGTGGGATCTCTGATGTGGGAATCTTAATTCTTAATACAGTTGACCTTTGATTTGAGAAGTGCTGGAGTGTTACTGTCTAATCAATATCTGGCTTGAATGCTCTGCTTCAATTTTCTCCTCTGAAAACTATTTATCTCTCAAGGGTGAGATGCAACTTCATAAATGTCTAGTGTGAGCTTTTGGACAATTTAAAAGGTGCAAGGTTCTACTGGGCAGGATGCTTGGAAAGGATGTTATTCTGGTGGAAATCTGCTGCTGCAAATTTCTTGCATGCAGCAAAATAATATCATCCTATCAATATACTTTCATTCACTAAGATACATACTTCTTAAAGGTAAAAAGACGAACTGCAGGGTTCAAATCACTTCCAAATTGCTTCCAAGTTTTGTCTGGTGAAACAGTATCATTACAGCAATGTGGAACAGAAAGCGCAAAGCTGCTTTATGTAACACAACTGCAAGCTGTGGAAACAGAGCCTTGCAGAAAGTGCAACTCGAATTTGACATGGACAGAGTGACAAATATACTTGCACTTCAGAGAAATGGCGTACAAATTTTAGCGTGTAGTGGTCAGGACCCTTTTCTACATCTGATGATAAAGAAGGAGCATGAATATTGAGTGTATCAGTTAAGCTTCTGGCTTAAGGCCACTCTCCAGGCAACGTGCCATAGCTATGAAATCACTGTTATTTTCAACTTCACATTAGATGAATAGGGTAGTGCAAGCTGTTTGAAACTCAGCTTTGATGTATTTAAATGTTTTGAAATAATGCCTAGCATTTGATACAGAGTTTTGTTAACATTAGCTTTCCAAAGTGCCTGATAAAAATAGTTTTATTCCCCACTGGTTTAACGTTATTTTTCTAATTAAATGCAGATGCTTAAACCATCAGCATTCAACACAAGATTTAGTTGTTCAGACATTATATCATCTATTTTAATGCTGAATTATGTTCTAAATTTTTAACTGATCACTAAACACTATGGCAGATACGATTATGACTCGTTGCTGTATATCATAATTCCCTGGGAACAAATGGGAACAGCAGGAACAGTGCTCTTCACACACAAAAACACTTCTCTTTAAGTCAGTGTCAAAGTCGTCATGGGCTTCACTGAGAACTACATTTGGTCACAAATGCTCAGGTCTTTACTGCTTAAAATAATCTCCTTTGGCTCTTAGTCACACAGGTCCAAAAGCTGCAGGCTAGTACCGGTGTGTTGCAAGTGTTTGGTGCTGAACAGTTTTGTTTTCTTAAGCAGGAGCTGTTTTCAGAGCAAAATCACAGAATCACAGAATTGTGATCATCTAATCCAACCCCCCTGGCCAAGGCAGAATCACCCGGAGCAGGTGACACACGAATGCATCCAGCTGGGAAGACTTCTTCCAGTGGAAGATTTCAAAGAAATCACTGCCCGACAACACGTTTCAACACCCAATTTTAACCAAGCAGCAGTTCATGACAATTCTGCCAGCAGCAGGGAGAGAGCAGGGCGCCAGATCCTCCCAGCACCTGTTCCTTGCCTTGGGATACCCACACACTGTACACTTGTGTTTAACTTCAAACTAGCGGCTATTTAGCCTCTTTATTTCAACACGTGCACGCTTTGCATTTTTTACAAGAAAGCAAAGAGATAAAACAATCAAGTCGCGAAGTAGCTTCACTTCGGTAGAACAGGGGAGTCTCAGGCGCTGAGGCTCTGCCTGAGGGCGCCGAGCCCTGACAGGGAGGTGGGATTTCGCCCAAATCCCTGCAGGAGGCTGCTGGAACTCGGGTCACTCGGGCCCACGCACCGCCCTTGCAACCCAGAAGCGGCACCTCGGGGCAGTGAAACGATGGAGACCACTCGCCGCCCAGGCCCGGGCGGACCACCACTGCCCCCCTCCACCCTCCGTGCCACCCCTCACCCCGGCCCCTCTCCCCGCCTCCCCCGCCCCGACACGTCACTTCCCGGGGCGGCCGCAGCGCCGGGACCGCCGGCTCTGAGCGGCCGCGCTGAGATGGCGGCGGCGGTGGGGCGGTGGCAGCCGCGGCTCCTCGGGGCCGCGCCGGCGGGGCTGTGCCGCTCCTGACTCGGCCCCGCGCCATGGGGAGCAGCCGCGGCGGGCGGCTCGCCTGAGGCGGCGGCGACAGCGGAGGGCGCGGCAGTGCCGAGGGAGCCCCGCCGCGGGGGCCGCGACCCGCGCCGCCGGGGATGCTGCGCTGGGTCCGGCAGCAGCTGGTAGGTGCCTCCCCCCCGAGCCCCCCGCACTCCCCGGCCCGGCGGAGCCCCAGCTCGGCCGCGGGCCGCGGGGTCGGGGAGCAGCGTGGGTGCAGGGCCGGGGGGCGGGAGGGAGGGGAGTCCTTCCCCCCGCAGGGGCTACACTTGCATCGTTATTGTCATTTTTAAAAACATTACTTTTATATTTTCATTTTTATCGGAGGTTTTGCGGTGTTTGTTTATTTTTTATTATTTTTTTTTGTTTCCTTTTCTCGAACCCCCCCTTTTCACAGGGGACAGCGCGTTCCCCTTACTTTTGTGCCCCTCGTTGGGAAGGGCTCCCCAAAACTTCCCAGAGGAATGACGGTGCCTTTATTCCCTGGGCCGGCACTTCAGAGATTCGCAGCTTCTTCCTCCTTCCCGTTGCGAAATCTTTTCAAGGCTCTTTAACCCGACGTGCTTTCATCTCGTTTATTTCCCGGTCCTTGAGAGCTTTGCAGCCGCTCTGTGCGTGCAAAGGCTTTGGAAGTGACGAGAAATGGAAAGAAAACGTCCGTGAAATGCGTTTGGCGACGGAAAGCACTTGGAAAAGGCAGCGGTGAGGGTGCCTGTCCCCCCACACAGGCACTACTTGCTGTGCAGGGTTAGAGGGAGCGAAGGAAACCAGGCGGCCGAGGCTGTGCTGCTTTAGCAGGGAAATGCATCGAGTTTGACTATTTTCATTTGAAGTGTTGGCCAGTTTCCTGCCACGTCCAGCATTGTTCCTCTTGCATTTTCTCTAAAAGAGAAATTCTTTCTAAGTAATATATTTGTAAAATAACTTTTTCCACTCACTACCATTACCTTGCATCGCAGATGTTGCCCAGGTTAGTACGAGAGCTTACATTAGTTAGGTTTTTAGATTTTAATCTTCTGTTCCACTAATGATTTGTTTAAGTTCTTGCATAACTTTTTACAAAAAAAAAAAAAGAAAGGATAAAAATTTTTCTGTTTTCTTTTTTTCCCTGTTTCTTCCCTGACCTCGTTTCCCATGGCCCATAGATTTTCCCAGTTCTGTGTCTGAAGCACAGAGCTTGTGGTGATGGTCTGAGTGCCAGCTTGACAGTGCTCACTAGTTTGGTCCAATACCAAGAGTTACTGACCTGGAAATTAATTGCTCTGTTTGAGCTGTGACTGTACTCTTCTGTTACAGTCATACACACGGTTTTTAGAAGAAAGCTTGTTTGGTGTAACATAGCTGTCATTTTTTCCACTTGAAGGTGGCTTGAGGTTTGTGTTTGTGGTTTTCAAAGCAGCGTTATGCAGTCTTCTTTAGAGTTTAGATTAGGACTGTATCAGTGCTAGCAATTCATGTATCAAACATGGTTGCTTCTCTCCCAGGGAGTACACTGACCAGCTTTCCAGAAATCTGTTTGCCCATAATCAAAAGTAAAAGCCTCGTGTAATAAGATGAGCAATAAACCTGGCACTAGCAGGTTTTTGTGCTTCTAAAGGAGACTGATGGGAAAATGACTGTTTAAAGCTCGCACTAGTTTTGACAGGGAAGGATTAGTGTAGTAGAAAAACAGGGTAATAAAAGGTCAAGTTTCTTGAACAGACATTTAAATATGGTACTAAGGGGAAAAAAAATTACTGCAATGATACATGTTTTGTGTTTTTTGTATATGTCACTGACTGATAATGGCTTGGTTGTTTCATAGCTCATAAGGATGAAAAGTGGCCTAAAAATGGCCTGCATTTTAATTCCTAAGGACACTCAGACAATTCATCCCTCTGTGTAATGGTTGGTTTAACATAGAGCCCAACATGCATTTGGTTCTTCTCGTGGCTTGGCTGTGATGTTTAGGTTCTGAAAAAAAACGTCAGAGGGCCAAGAACATGGGGAAAAATGATGACAAAATAACCAGAGTGAGTGGGAAGAGTGGAGTAATGGAAATATCTGAATCAAAGGGTGCCAAAATTTATGTCTGATAAGAGAAGAGAAGAATGTGTGGGTTTGGATGCCTTTAGAGCATGCATTTGTACCTGTGCTTGATGTGGCAATGGGCTTTAAAAAAAGTGTTCTCATCCATACAGGAGGGTTGAACCAGGCAAATATGTGGGAGTGATGTAAGTGGGATGTTGTAGTAATACAAAAGAAAACCGTTGGTGTGCAGAAATGCTCAAAAAGTAGTAAGAGATTAGGGGAAGGGGGAGGGACTGATGCTTTGCTGAAGGTGCTTTTAGGTAGTTATTAAGTACTCTCTATATGAAACTAGTGAGTTGTTTTGCAACTTCTTATTTGTTTAAGAGAACAGTATTTAATATACTAAGTGTCCTGAGTGTATATGGTCTTGAGAACTCGCATTTTCAAGAGTTGCAAAAGGGACATGGAAAATTATACAGGTGATCTTAAAGTAATGAGAAGACCTGGTATGGAGTTCAGATTATTTCAGCTAAGTTTTTTAAGTGGTGATTTTTAAGTGATATGTTAAGTGATTTTGATGTGCTTTAGTCTGTGAAGATCTATGCATGCCTGTAGACATACAGAAAGGGGTGCCCAGTCCTCTGAGAAGGGGAGACATGCTGAGAATGTCAGACTTCCTTCATCTTTGTAACGGTCTTACAAATCCTTAACAGTTTTCTAACTGAGGTGTTTCATATTTTTTTCAGTGATTTTTTTGTATATCAGGAATTGAATGACAGTAATTCTGTTGCTCAGTCTTCAGTGCCTATGTGACACGAATTGTTAGGTTGTTTGGTATCTTGGCCCTCAGTCTGTTTTTTTGTTTAGGAAGAATTCACACCACTCTACAGAGACAGTTTATCAGTTTTTCTTCATCTATTGCTGTCCCATTTAAATAGACTGCATAGTGATTCATTAACTTTCTAGTTAGTATTAAAAAGATATAATTATCTAGTTAATAGTTGGATGTACTTAAGTTTTAGTAATGAAAAATGTAGAGAAAAGTGGAGTTACAATTCATGGCTTTGAGTAAAATACCCTGAGGCACTTCAAAGACAAGCTTTGCACAGGAAAGATGCTTGAGTTCCAACTCTGTTACCTTGAGATCTCAGAAAGGCAGAGGGCGTGTGGATTTGCTGAGAGTTGCATAACGCCACAGAAACAGCCAACTCTGCTTGAAAAAAGCAACTGGATAAACAACAGTTGATAGGAAGCATTGCTAACATTCAGGAATAGCATAGTACATTTTATTTGCATTTCCAGATGTGATGGTTTAGGTGACGTAGCTGATCTGTGTACGGCAGAGGAGTGTTGTGGCTCCCCTGGTCGAGTTTGTGCAGCACCAACACAAAATGAGAGTACAAAATGTCATTTGTAATGCTCGGTGACTTTCTGTTCCACTTCTAGTTCTGTGGGTTTGTGACAGTGTTTGGACTGTGCAGGGATCCTGGTGGTGCACATGGAGTGTAGGAGCTGTTGCAGTGGTATTGACAGAAAGTAATGATACCTTCAGTTGACTGGTGAGGTGGTATCCAAAAATTGTTGTAGAATTCTTTTGTATGTGTGATTTTAGCTGTATAATTTTGAAGTATTAGTCCTCTCATGTGAAGAAGGGTCTCTGGTTTTTCCTTCTAGTTGCTATTATGAGGAGTTTGAGCCTTTTGATCTGTTATCTGTCATCTCAATGATGTACAAAAGATATTACATGGAGAAAACCTAAGAACTGCCTGCCTGGTCCCTCTTCTATAAATGACAGGTTCAAGACAAGCAAAGTTGAACTGTATTTGACAGAGGATCTTTACAATTTAAGAACCTCAGTGCTGCTGTGCACTGACAGCAACTTTTATGTGAGGTATTCAAGCAAATGCAGCTTTGCTATTTAGCTGTAAGTCAAAAATAAAAAATATAGATTAACCAGAAAACCTAATTACCAGACTAGATTTTGTTTCATGGTTATAGGAAGGCTCAGATTGGGAGGAAAGTTTAGAGTTCATCTAGTCCAGAAGTTCTACAAAGCCTGCACTGAGGGCTGATCATAGGGAATGTTTTTGTATGTTTTGTTTTGGTAATCTCTGTCACATCCCTTTTACTTCCAGGTGTTGGTATCTGTTAAGATGTTCTGAGAGAACAGATGGTATTTTGAGATAACTTGCACTTATTGGCATTGTGAGCAAGGTGGACAGCATTTGATCTCATTGTTTGCCCTGGCATGTGGTTATTATTTTCACTTAATCATTTTGTTGAATGAATTGAATCAATACAGTTAACCCCCTCCCCCCCAAAAAAATAATTCCCTGTATTTTTTGCACGCTGAAAGTAGTTTAAACTAATCTAATGACTGAGCTTCTGAAATCACCTTGCTTTTCTGGAGTATCATTTTCCCCCTCTTATTTGTCATTGAAGCCTCTTACCCTTTTTGGCTAAAATTAAGTGGGTGTTTGTTATTGTATACTATAAAAATAAAGGCATATTTTCTCAGAAGAGTTCCCATGGTTCAGAGTGCCCAGCTGATACCTTCTGAATTGTCGCTGCAAGGTGCATGTTAGAACAGGCCAAAGGTGGCATTGCCTTGGTAGAATAGCTTGAGAACTGGGGGTTTGTGACTCCCCTCATGTAACTTGGCACAGGAGAAAATGTGGCCTGGTTTTTTTTCTGCTAGAGATATTCTTTGATCTGCTGGACTAGTCCTCCCGTTGTGTTTGGGTCTTCTACCCTTATTTTCTTTCTGTATTCTGTGACTGCTGAAGGCTGATACATTCTCAGCACAATGTGTTCCAGAGCGTGCAGAGCCTGGCCCTGCCTTCAGCCAGCTGTCTGTTCCCCATGGAGACATCCACTCTGTCCTGTGCGTGATTTTTAAGTCTTACCTCGTAAAAAATTAAACCCTAAATTTAAAAATTGCCTACCCAAACCTAATCAAAGCAGTCATGACACTGTGTCTTTCAAAGACTGTTTTAAAAATAGGAAGATCAGTGTTGTCCAATGTGCTGCCTTGCTGTGAGACTTGGATTTCTTTTTTTTTTTTAAGCAGCAGATTTTTTGTTGTGCCAAACTTCCACTTGTCATTAAATAATAT